TCTGATGATGCCTGGGGCTTTAGTCCTGGCTTATCTTTTTCTACTTTTATTCTTGACTTCAAATTAAAATGTGATGGAGATGGTAAAGCAGCACACAAGTTTGTCGGTTTTATACCTGATTTACCTTTATCTTTCTGCACCTTGCTCCCTTGTTTTTTAATGCTCAACTGCAACAGCAAGTCCCTTTCATCAAGTATACGTGACAGTGGTGATTTCCTTACCTTCAGTATTATAACCTTGGGGTCCATTATTCCTTTCATATCAACTGCTTTTACTCCATCCATCTCCTCTTTCTGGAATATATATTGTTTTTCTCTTCTTACATTATGTGAGATAATTCCATCAATTGTCTCTTTATTCAATTTGAGGTGAGGTGAAGAAGATATGGAATCATATGTTTTTGTCACAAACACATCTGGCTCACCCTTTCTATGTTTTATATTTACCATTTTCTCTTTTATGTTCCACCGCTGTTCTGGTCTGTTGCTTGGGGTACCATGGTCAGTGGCATTGAGCACATGTGAAAATACTGATTTATTTGACTTCAAAGCTCTTCTTTCAGGCCAGACTATGTCTTTATCTCCTTTTTTAATACTAACCTTCTGTCTTTTACTTTCAGGCAAAATAGGCATACAGATATATAGAAAATGTGGAGAAGTTACAGGTAGACGTGCTTCATTTTGCACCTTTTGAACTGCATTATGTGATTCTACCTTCTTTCTAACTCTTAGCTTGGGTGAGCTACTATCTGATATTGAATTAATTACTCGTGCCCCTTCTGGTGATTTCCTTCCTCTTGGAAGTGAAGCATTCCGATATTTTACAGTTTTACTACATGAATCTAAAGGCAACATTTTGTTTTGTTTTTTAATTTGCCTTGGAATAATTGAGGGGACATTGCACTCTGGTCCATACTCACATAGAGTATTCAGTTGATCTTTACAAAACAAGTCTAATCCTTTTGCCATGCTTGACAGGTTACCTACTTCTGATAATGCTTCCGTTTTCTGGAGCATTAAATATCGAAGGAGACAGGGATCATTTTTAAAGTAAGACATATGCTCCAGAAAATTCTCACCTAAACCTGACAGGTGCTGCTGCTTTTGCTCTTGTTTTGCTTTACTTTTTTGAGTATATACACCTATGTCATCTATTTGTTGTAATGCTTCTTTAGCCTGTGAAGTTGAATATGCAGAATGCATAGTATTCATATCATCTAACTTTACTGGTTGATTTTGGATATTAATTTCAAGTAGATCTAATTTGGAGTGAGATGCAGGCTTTGGAAGAGCCTCATATGTATATTTTTCTTGTTGTTCTTTCTTTTCTTCTATAAGCAAGCCAATTCCTTTTGCATTCGGAGCGTGATCCATGACACTAAGTACCTCTTCTGATATCTTCTTTACACACGGTGTCTGACTTTGAATTATATCCATCGAAGAGTGAGAAGCTGGCTTTGGAATAGTTTGGTGCATACTTTCTGGTTGTTCTTTTCCTGTAGCAAGCAAGCCAATTTCTTCTGTATTCAAAGTGTGATCTATGATGCTAACTACTTCTTTTGATGCTTTCTTTACACATCGTGTCTGATTTTGAAGTATATCCATCGGAGAGTGAGAAGCTGGCTTTGGAAAAGTCTGGGGTATACTTTCTGGTTGCTCTTCTAATTTTCCTTCAAGAAACAAGCCAATTCTTTCTGCACTTGAAGTATGACCCACGGTGCTAATTATTTCTTCTGATGCCCTCTTTACATATGGTGTCTGACTTTGAAGTATATACATCGAAGAATGAGAAGCTGGCTTTAGAACAGTCTGGTGTATACTTTCTGTCTTCTCTTCTACTTCTCCTGTAATAAGCAATCCAATTCCTTCTGTACTCAGAGTGTGATCCACACTGCTAACTATTTCTTCTGATGCTTCTTTTACA